GGTGCCAGTAGTAAATTATGACTGCTGGTTAACACCGACTGATTGTGGAAGTGAAAAACACGCATTCAGTCTTTCAAAGACTTCCTGGGGAGTCAGTGAGAACCAGGGGCAGCAAAGCAGCAAACATGTGGGAAGGCCGGGGAGATCCACCGGTGTAATTAGCTGCCCAATTAATTCACTGTGAATATTTCCAGGCTTCATCTGTTGCAGCTGGAAAAGATCACAAAGAGAAACATGAGCTGTAGCTAATTAACAGAGTGAGGAGGAGGAGAGCAGCTAAGTGATGAGGGGCAGCGAACGCAAAGATACAGGAGCAGGTGAGGGAAGCTGCTTCCTCATCTCTATTCTTCTCTGCTGTGACTCTGACTGACTGCACATGAGCTACATACACCCAGAAATGGACCCTGAAGGCAGCATCGTGTCAGTAAATCACAGGAAAACTCAACAAGCTCAAAGTGCTGTTTGAAGAAAAAAACCCAGTAACACGTTCTCATGTTGGATGCTTTCAATTCTGAGAAGTGGGAAACACTAGAAACTTTATTTTGAAAAGCCAGTAAATCTGTATGCTCCTTTTGTCACCTTAAGTCTTTTATTTTGACATTTTAGGAAACTTCAATGTGTCCTTCGACTCTCCGCAGACTTTAATTTTGAAACTCAGACACATCATGAGCCTGTAGCAAATGCTACCTACCGTCTGGGAAATCCTTAAAACTGTCATTAAAATTTGACACACAGCTCAAATAGGCTCATTTTACCATGCAGATGCTTTTATTTTTGGATAAAGGTAAAAACATCAATAGTTCATATTTATTGTCTTGTGGGTTTTATTTTGAAAAGCAGATTCTTACAAACTGGAAAGCATCCTGTTAACTTGCTGTAAATAACTTAGAGCTTATATTTTGAATTTGTGAGCAAACAGGAAGCTTCCAGAATTCACTCAAATGAAAAAACATCACATGATAAATAAATCATGTCAACGATTAGTCAGAATCAGACTGACTGTCCTGTCAGCTAGCTCTGCTGTGTTACCTGTCAGAGTGCTGCAGCAGAGCTCCATCTTTGCTCCAGCTGATTTTGGGAGGTGGGGATCCCTCAGCAGGGCACCGGATGGTCAGCGACCGTGTGGCGTTGGCGAGGAGCGCGCTGTGTCCGATACTGATGTCGATGTTCTTCTGAAAGGTGGGTGGGACGCTCTGCTGCTGTCTGATGATCGCTGGTCTCTTTGTGACCGTCTCCAGTGGAGAGCGCTCGGACCAGTTGGGCAGTCGGTCTGTGGACGGACCAGGGAGCGAAAAGAAAAAAGGTTATCCTGAGAAAGGCCGAGGAAGGTCAGCATCAGCAATTGCATCAGCAATCACAACAAACACGGAGCATTTTATTAAACACCTGTATACCTGCAGTGCAGTTCAATCAGTCGTGTAGATAAACGTCAGGAAGTTCACGACCAACTAACCTCTTTCCTTCTCACCTTCCTTTAGCCCCTTTTTCCTTCAATCATCTTTCCTGCTCCCTTGTTCTTTATTTTTTTCCTTTCTATCGACAAACTTTAATCACATTGCTTTTTAATGAAAGACATGAAAACGTGTTGACCACACACTGCCTGCACAGTGTGGTCGTCTGGGTCTCTGCTTACCTTTAGCTTGTCCTCCTCTCCTCGTGGTTCTGGTCCAGAGCTGTGCAGGAGACATGTGTGTCAGCAGGGAGGAGATGAGCTCTGAGGCCTGCTCCTGCTGGATCTCTCCTCTATCAGCCTGCAGCGTCACATTGATCAGTCTCTCCTCCACCCGTGGCTGCAGGGAGGCCTCCTGTCCACCAGAGGGCACCAGAGAAACCCGGGCCCCGGGTCGGATCGTCTTCAGGACTGAGTCGTGGCTGTAGCAGCTGGGCAGCATCTCCTCCCAGTCGGGACCGGGAGCAGGCGGTCTACCCGCCGACCTGCCGTCACCGCCTATCAGCTGGAGAGTGAAAATGTCTGAGGCGGGTCCTGCCACACATTTGTACACCCCGGCGTCCTCTGGCTCCAGGAACTGGATCTTCAGAGAGCCGGACTTGGTGACGCCCAGGCGTTGGGAGCTGGGTAAGGCGCTGCCATCTTTGAGCCAGCGGATGTAGGCTTTGGGGAACCTTCTGACGGGGCATTTGATGACCACGGAGGTGTTGGGGAAAAGATAGGCGTGGCCACCAACGGTCAGGTGGAGACGCCTCTCTTTACGGGTCTGGATGTAGATGTTGTGCGTGCTAACGAGAGCGGGACACTGTTTGATCCCCTCCTCGTAGCCTCTAGTCTTTGCAGGGCGTCTCACCGGCTGCTTGACCTGGTTCCTCACAGCGGCTTTTCGCGAGTCTTTGGGTCTCATCTGCTTCTTGTGTTCTGTTAGGAACCAAAGAGACGACATTTCTTCTCAATATGGTGAATATTTTCAACATTTTTCAACATAATAAAAGTTTAAAGTTTGAGAAACTTCAGAGGAACAATTCATCTTCTTTAGAGGTCACCACAGTGGATCAGCTGCCTCCACCTCCTCCACCCTCCTCTGTCACACCAACCCTCTCCATGTCCTCATTCACTACATCCATGAACCTCCTCCTTGTCTTCCTCTTTTCCTCCACCCTGGCAGCTCCATCTTTTGTCCAACACATCCACCATCCAGGGCAACATTTCCTCTCTCACTAAAAGCTGAAATACTGCTGTACCTGTTCTGCTTCCAACAAAGTTCATTTGACTTATTGATTTCTAATCTTTCAAGCTAATTATCGACATTTTTTTCTTCCTTTACGTTTCTACTTTGAAATGATGATGAAATGATGTCAGTGCATGAAACAGTCAAACAGAATAAGGACAGGTGTTTCCTTATAAAAACACTACATTAGCTAGCTGCTAACAGCTGCTGCTGTGTTGTTTGTTGGCCGAACCTGATCATGTTTGTGGTGGTGGAGTGCTAAGTGAGGCACAGGTGCTGCAAATGAAATGCACTTAATCAGCTGATCATCAGCGGTGAGAGCATCTCTGTAAAGAGCAGTTTTGACACTTTGCTGGTCTGCAGGTGTGTTAACGCAACGCCAAGGAGCACAGACGCCAGCAGAGTTCTTAGACAATCAAACTTCACTTTACAATCACTTCTATTGAATAAATAATGACGTACGTTAAGATGTCATGTGTAATTCATCTCAGGTTATATTTTTCTGAGGACTAGAAGAAGTAGAAGGAGGTCCACCTGACAGCCACCTGCCCCTCTCATTGGCTCCTCTGCAACGAGGCGCCAGCTGTTCGCTCACAGCTTTGAGTGTTTGAGTGAGAAGCGTGAACACAAGTCCATTAGTTCATAAGCAGGATGTGCTCCTCATGTCTTTGTTGGTAGATGAGAGGATTTTGAAGATGTTTGCTGCTCAGCATCTTGACTCATTCTCCGCTGCTGACCTTTTCTTGGGAGTGGGAGGAGTCAGGAGTCACACCTTATGTTATGTCTAGGACACCCTTGACACGCCCCCTCGGCTGGAGGCGTAACAGGACGTCTCCAACATGAACATCATGTTGTTTTCAGCAAGACTTGAAACTAAAGACAGAAAGAACAAAGGTTCTTGCTGAGATTTTGTTTAGGGCATGTCTGCGTCTGCTGCGTCTGCTGCGTCTGCTGCGTCTGCTGCGTCTGCATCTGCTGCATCTGCATCTTCTGCGTCTGCATCTGCTGCGTCTGCATCTGCAGCATCTGCATCTTCTGCGTCTGCATCTGCTGTGTCTGCATCTGCTGCGTCTGCATCTTTTCTGAGTCTGCATCTGCTGCATCTGCATCTTTTCTGCGTCTACATCTGCTGCATCTGTGTCTGCAGCATCTGCATCTGCTGCGTCTACATCTGCTGCATCTGTGTCTGCAGCATCTGCATCTGCTGCGTCTGCATCTGCTGCGTCTGCATCTGCTACGTCTGCATCTGCGTGTGAAAAGTGATCTTGAAGCCTCGGCTGGTTCACGGCGAGCTGGTAGCTTCCTTTATCTAACACCGGCGATATGTACATATGTAGTAAAGCTATTGTTGTGACTCTGACATTAACGAGTCACTCACTGAGTTTAAACTTTACTTTAACAGCTGAGTAACACTGCGTGTTACTGCGTTCTTTCAGAGGTCTTACCCAGAACCTCCGCAGTCATCTCAGGGACCCACGGTGACGAGGTATGTGTTTAGGCTCAGAGGCCCTCTGTGTTTATTTGAATTCCCGACTGTACTTTACTTAACATCGAGCAGGACGGCTAAGTGGATTCCTCAGAGCTTGCGGGGGGACGCGGGTCAGGCCGCGTGACACCTCTGCGTCAGCTAAAAGCAGAGTACGTCCTAACAAGTACGAGCAGTTTGGGTCTCTGTGAGTGATGATGGTTATAAACCACGCTGATCGATGGTCATACTCAGGGCATGAGAAAATGCAAACAACACCTCCCTCTCTCTCTCTGACCCGGCTTTTTGCTTCTACCATTAACTCAAATAAAAGCTGTGAGCTGACGGCACAGACGCTGATACAATGAGCACGATCAGTGAAACAGAAGAGCGCTTTAAGGACATTCTGACGTTTGATATTCGGTCATGCTGAGCAGGGCAGGACTCTGAAACACTGGACAGAGCAGCCGTGCACAGATCTACGCCTGAGCGCTGAGACCAGATTCATCACATTATGTCTGCTTTGGATTTGTGACCTCAGGAAAGTCTTTTCTTTCTTTGTAGTAAAAACAACTTGGCTGCACTCAGTCCTTAGCGTTTAGCACTTCCTGTTCTCATGTCCTGAAGTTCTTGGTTGTTTTTAGACAAGTGAAATATGTTCTGTGATTAAAAGAAGATCCAATCAGACCATCAGTAAAGGTTTTATATGTTCCAACAGGGGTGTGTCTAAAGCAGGGCAAGGGGTGACACCCTCCCCTGAAAATATGGAGCCCCTCCATTAACACCTGTGGACTAGAGTGCTGTTTATGCTACGTGTCCAACGCTGCTGGAGGAGAGCAGCAAGAGACAGAGGTGAGGTTTACAAGATGGTAGTGAGGATTGCTGTGGTGGATGGTTGGAGACGTGTCGCTGAGGAAAAGACAGGCTGAGCTGAAGATGTTCAGATGTTGATTGGGAGGGAGACAGGAAATGAGTCCATCAGAGGGACAGCTCGGAGTCAGGCTGAGAGGGTTTTCAGAGGAGGGGGGGTGGAGGATGAAGATGGAGCTGCCAGGAGGAAGAGCTCACAGGAGGTTCATGGATGTAGTGAAGGAGGATGCTGGGACAGGAGGAGGCAGATGATCCACTGTGTAAGTTTAGCCCGTGATCAAAGAGTGGGCCTGAACACATCAGCCATCTGGGTTAAAGAGTGAAAATTATAACGAAAACAAAAAGCATTTTAAAGTTTGGTTAAAGCCCAACGTGCAGCTGCAGATCTGCCAGGATGCAACGCTGTGCTGCAGCTCTGCTCAGCAGGACACTTGAAAAGGATTCAAGTTATTTGGCCTGTTTGCTGCAGGCGACGTCTGCAAAAAACAAAACAGGTCCTGTGGAAGAAATTTCTTTATGCTCAACACGGAGAAAATATTCAACTAATGAAAAACAACCGCATGCAGCCGCATTTCAATCTACACGAGGTAACTAGGTTATAAAATATAAATGTCATTCGATCTGCGTGAAGTTCAGCCGGTCAGGAAAAGACGCTCGTCAGCCTTGATAACTTTTAGCCGAGCAAAATATCACAGATCCACACGGAGGTTACCGTCCAGCCAGCAGGCTGCACACACTGCTGCGACGAATCCTTCACTTTGTTGTTGTGCACACGCAGTACGTCTTCAAGTGTTTCCTGACCTCTGATGACGTGCTTCATCTCAACACTGAGCCCGGCCGTCGTCCTTTAAACTGGCTCCGTCACTGTGAGCCTGGCGCCTCTGTCACCTGACCACGACGCCGCACCTCTGCCCTTAGTTCGGGGAGACACCAGCAGATTCAGACGCTCCATGAGGACAGGAAGCCCGCCCTCGATTTCCAGCAGACGTTAGATGATACTGTAGTTGATGCTGTCAGGATGCTGCTGCTCGCTTCACGCCCCAAATCAAAAATGGAGGATGCTGCGAAGCGGCTCGTGGTGCTGCGATGTCCCTGATACAGAAACCTGTCAAACAGGATGATTACACGGCTTGTTTAACGGCTCTTTGCTAAAATGTCGTGGAGTTCATCACCTGACAGAGTCAGACTGTCGACACTTGAAAGGACACAGACGACCTTTAAAAGCTCGTGAAGGATTCTTTGGAGCACTGGGTGCTTTTCTCCTGATCCTCTGATGATCAAACGAACGATTAGTGAGATTGGCCTCCCGCTGATCCAGCGTAGCACTGACAAATCCCCACCCCCGTCCTGTGTGACAGATATCACAGCTCGCAATGTTTCCAACTCGGTCTTTGGAGCTGCCGTCACTTTCTCTAACCATGCGGTGACTGAACGTTTGTTACAGCTGCAGCGAGGCCGGCTGGACCAAAGTCTGCAGGAT